TGTTCATTGACCTGACCTGACCTGATCAAGATAAAAGGATTATGCTTGAATTAATGACCTGGTATGCCAGTTTCCAGCTATCTAAGGCAAGCACGTTCCAACTTCCGAAAGATTGCAAAAAAGACACATTTGGGGAGGGGAGGGGCCTACCTGCACCCATTCCCTCTCAGCCGGGGAGAGTTAAGGCTCTGTCGCTCATGTGTCTATATATTTGACCTTAGTGAACGGCTTATTCCCAAGGTGGCAAGACACAAGCGACACAAGACAATTTAGAGACTATGAGGTACGTTTTTTTCTGTAACAATCTTTGGCATGAGACGTTTATCATACCGGCAGAGTGTTTCTTTCGTCAAGATGCCTTCAATGAATGATAACTCAACCTAAGTTTATAACTAGAGCGTCCTGTTGATAAAAGACCACGCCGTTGTATGTAAAAGTCATCGCCTCCAGTCATGTTACCCTGTTCGCTGATTGCATGTGCTGTTGAGAAAATAACCTTGTTATGCAAATACAGAAGCACTGTGTACCAATCCAATCGGCTTTGTCTTTCCTTCCACCCGTAGTTAATTGATCGCATAGGGGATATATGTACTGAGTAGGAGCCGGAGCCGGAGTCGGAGTCGGAGCCGCCGGAGCCAAACCATTTTACTCGGAGTCGGAGCCGGAGCCGGAGCTGGAACCGTCTAAAATTTCCACGGGTCCGCATCCCTGGTCCTGTTAGTGTACTTAGTCAAAACATCTAATCGAGTAGCCTCTCGCATAGCCTTCCGACACGTCCGGTACCTCGAATGTGGAGTATTTATTGTTCGAAAGTGGTATGAAACACCATGCTGCACTTGTTATTTACCTTTCACAACTGGTAACATTAGGTACCTACATCCAGCTGGGCTAAGTTCGATTATTACATTACTCGTCACCTGCACGACTTGGTCGAATTATTACAGAATGGAAGTAGCCTATGAGTTGCGGGGAGCAGTCAGTGATCTCGAGACTGGATCGATGGTCGATGGTCGACGGTCGGCACATTCGGCGCTACTGTGGCGTCCTCTGCGACTGGCACCGCTATGGGAGCGCCCTCTTCCATCCAGCTGCCTGAAAGTACAGAAAAGACGGAAGAGGACAGAGGTTACATCCGCCATCCCTCTTTTACCACCTCTTTTTTAGGACACCGTCAGCTGGCATGTCCGTCGAGGCCATATGTACTTGAGCTACTTGAATTATGATAATGGGTCGCTTCGAAAATATGCCATTGTCTGAGAAACTTTGCGTAGCCTTAGCAACTTATCCCATTCGACAATTTCAATTGTGTTCAAAGATCCGTACATATGCATTATGCATGCAGTATCCATTTGGCAATCGACATAAGAAAGCAACAGGTCATGCGGCACAGTATACTCTCAGGCGTATACTACTAGTGACATCTAGCGATCCTGAGCTTAACTAATACTTGTCACAGGACACAGGTGTAGTGTCTGACTGTAGCAACTATTAATCCATATAATTAACGCTAGATGTCACCAGTAGATACGCCTGAACCTATACTGTGCCGCATGACCTGTTATGCCTGAGACTTGAGAGTAGTGAAGCTCGGTGGTTTGCGCTCCCCCACAGGCACGTAACTAGATTCGGCCAAGGGTGTGTGGGGGTGGGGGAGGGGGGGGGGAGGGAGCGGAAGAAGGAATCCTGAGGGCCTCATCTCTACAGCGGGCCTCCTCTCTAAAGGGGCCCCGACTCCTCTAAATAGGCCCTCCTACCTCCTACAGAGGGCCTCCACTCTACTGAGGACGAGGAGTCAGAGGGGCCATAGCGGTCAGACACAGACAGGCCGTTATTCACAAGAGGCCCCAGATAGTAAGAAGGACCCTAGCTGTCAGGCTGGTCAGTGGGCCCTGATTGTCTTGACGTGATTTTTGGGATTCCCGTGAATTTCGTTCGCCTCGGACGTGATTTTGGCCTACGTGGGCCTTCCACCCGCGGGGGTCCTAATTCTATCCGGGCCCTGAAAACCCCAAGGCTGGGTGTGCACCCCATCCGCCCTTCCCCCCTGGGTACGTCACTGCTCCTCCAAGTGGTCTAACAATCAAGGGCAGCAGGGCCAAAAGTGTCATTAACAATAATATGCGTAAAAACACGATGAACTACTACCAGTAAAACGCCTTTTGGGCGAAGAACGAGCGGGCGAGATAGTGAGCCCTGCACGTGCGGAAGGGCGAGAGGGTACTTCCAACGGGCTTGCGCAAAGCACCCTTCTAACCGGTCGCTAGCGGTGTGCCAAATTTGAACGCAATCGGCCCAGCCGTTCCTGAGATCTGGAAGCGGCATTCTGCACGTGCACACGTGCAAACGGGGTCCAAACTGACTTTTGCACGGCACCCTACTAACTGGTCCCCAACCGTGTACCAAATTTGAGCGCAATCGGCCCAGCCGTTCTCGAGATCTGGAAGCGCCCCCTGCACGTGCGCACGTGCAGTAGCGCCTTAACCGCAACACATGGGAATGCATTGTCTGGTGGGTGCCTGCCTGTATGCCAAGTTTCAGCGAAATCGCCCCAATAATTACCGAGTTATTAAAATGGGAACAAATTTGACACCTCTTATTGTTGTATTTTGCACGTGCACTGGGGGTGACCCACATGCATCGAGAGTATCCTATATTTGGTAGAAGGGATGCTGCTACCGTACAAAAATTACCGCAAGCCAATCGCCCAAGCGGCTGCTGAGATATGAGCCTCTCAAAATCACTACTTTTGCAAAACAGCTTGAACACCCTTGACTTTTCACGTGGCACGTGCCACGACGGTCACTGAGATGTATCAAAAGTAGTCAATTACGGGGTAGAAGGGATGGGGCTACCCAACCAAAAAGACCGCAGGCCAATCGGTCCAGCGGTTGCTGAGATATAAGCCTCTCAAAAGCGTTACAGGCCGGGCCGCTCATACTGAGATTTTTTCCGTTACATTGAAAAGACTCACTTCGCTCGCTGCGCTCGCTCGCTCGTAAAAAGTAGCTCGGAACTGAAACGGTATCGGGCAGACCTTACCTTTCCATTTTCAGTTTCAGCGCTTCATTCTCCCCGGACCATTGAGTAATGCGTGCCTACCTACAGGTGGCTTCAACATGCACAAATATTAACATGTCCGTTCAAGCAGTGCTGCAGCATTTCCATGTTGTTCCACGTTCTATCTCCAAGTGTTCCTTTTTCCAATTGTCTTTGCGTTTCGGTATAGATCAAAATTCAAAGATAGCCATCGGTTCAGCATAGATGTTGTGCTCAGTAGAAACAAGACTTCCTAGGTGGCAGGGCTATCGTACTGTTAGATGTCGCTACCTTCCTCTACTACCCATTGCTGCTGCAGTGCTGGCTGCTTAGTGCTGGGGTGCATAGTTAATGCATTATCCATACATGCGTTTGGCGGTGACTGGTGACCTTTTCACCTTCACCGTCTTAAATACTGAGATTAAGTGATCCAAAGTAAACTTTGATTTTGCAATGAGCCTTTATGCTTATTGCAGAGCTAAGCAGAGACCTGCCTTGCAGTATGCAGCCGTATGTACAGTGGCTGTGTAGCAAACACGGATACCTACCTACCTGCTAACGGCTGGACGGGTGTGACCTGCAGCAGCCGGACAGCCTGCCCGGAGTCCTGCAGTGACCAGCGGGTAACGCACCTTTCAGTGTGGCCTTTAATGTGGCTAGCCGGGCTGTGCAGCATTCCCGCTTCAGTTCAGCCGGGTAATGACGGGCTAGCACTATCTGCCTGGATCCAAATTCTTTCGGTCGGGAAAATGTATCCCAAGCTCATGAACAGGTATTTGTATGAATGAACAGCGTTTCCAGTGTTGTAGACCAGCAGTAACTCTGAGTTCAACGACGATTCTCTGAATGTATTCGGGCTCAAATATTGATCATTGAAGCGATTAGTCATGTTTACTTTTTAGGCTGCTGTGTTTTCATAGACATGTATTTATTACTTATTACGCTAATAAGTACGCATATACCTGCACAGTGCACAATGTCCACCTACATATAACATAAGCAAACTACGCATAGCACAAAAACTTGCGCGAGCTTTATTTTTGTTCGACTACCAGAACGTTGCTGACAAGCCATTAGAGGTAATTGAGTCTCCAAACTATTTTCTGTCAAAAGTGTTCAAACATTAATTTCTGCCAAACAGCGCGGTTAATAGAAAAACACATTACGCGCCCTTTCAACGCTACCAGAGCTGGGTAGGACAATTAGGCGTTCAATAGAAACTCAAAGATCTAATAAGCGAACGACGTCCCGTCACTAACGCAATTTCGTTTAGCCTCGGCACCGTCTAGTGCAGCTATTGACAGGAAATCACCTTCGGTAGCGCTGAAAAGTTGTCTGAGTTAATATGGCCACAACTGCGTCACTCTTCAGTGCCAATCGCGCCATTACTCGGCCAAATAGAGACCTAACGATTTCAGCTCTACATCTCGGTCGGCCAGTAATTGTTCGGAAAATTTTATTGGATCCAATTTGCCGTGCTCTTTTTGCTCGGTTAGTCTGTGCAAACTCGATTACCATATTATTGGGTGGGCTGCTGGATTGAACTGCGGTCCGAGGGCCGCCGGCGTTTGAGCGCAGTGCGCCGGGACGGTAATCCGCCCCGGCAGACAGACATACGGACCGGCCGATCGGCCGGGTCCGCGCGCTGATATTGGAGACGTCTGAGTGAGGCGGCCCGCGCCGGCCCCGGCTCTGTATTCGCTGCAGAAACAGACACAATCGCAGCACCATCAGCAATTACAGTCGGCGCCAGAAGGACGTGCTGTTTGCCGATGCCGCCGGCGCAGCTAATAACAATGCCGCAACGGAAAATGGCACGGCTGAATGGGAACAACGCCGGTCGGATGAACATAGCGACGAGATATCGGGAGGAGGAGCAATACTAGGGCCTGCTGATCGCAACCTCCCACTTGGTAATCGTCGATTCCAATCACTTATTCTCATTTCAGTAAGAGATGCAGAAGTTTCAACAGCTAATACCATATATTATTCTTCAGTGGTATTTACAATCGACAAAGTCGCACAGGGCAATAACAAGTTCCTGTTCACAATGTCACAACACAGTAACAAAGACAAGAATATCACAAACTCGCAAATTAAAATGACAAAAATCGCACCAGTTATGTACTTCTGTTTTCTCTTTCGTTCGATAAATAGTACAAGCTGAGCAATACCTCATGACTGAAAATGGAACGTTTGTAGTTCAGTATGCACTTTACACATGTATTTTCAAACGCAAAGTAGCAGACCTAGAAAAGTTACAATGAGGCATTAACACATTACATACATGTTGTTTACCATCATGTCTATCGATTAATATGTCGATAGATAGGCCGTCAAACGCGCCATGTAGCATTTCAGCTATAACTAGCGAGATGTACTCACTCACTCACTTGGCAGCAACCGTGAGTGAAACATTCGATGACTGTAAAGCGATTATGTCAATTGTCAGATCTGGATAGGTAACAATTTTTTTCGATGACTGTAAAGCGATTATGTCAGATCTGGATAGGTAACAATTTTGCCATTATAATCTGGGAACCAAGAGCCGTTACGCACTGACCAGGCATCTCACAAGTTTGCAAAGGCGGTTCAGACGTGTCTCAGTAATCAATATCTCTTACTTTGTTCACTTTTGGAAATGTTCTTGAAGATTGGAAATGTATGTTTGAAGTTTGAGGTCATCTAATTTACTTGACTGGCAAAGCAACTCTCAAGATGCTACACTCACTGCACCAAATCCAGAGCGCTTTATAAGGTGAGCAAATGCTTAGTAGTACGCTGGATAGAAGCAGCCAATCCTCGAAATTACATACAATCACGCCCCCGGCATCCGTTGCCACCGCAACTGGGTAGCAAGACCTTTACCTTGAGCCCTTCAATAACCGAAAAACAACATCTATCGTACACGGAACGGCACAAATTGCCCAACAACTTGTCGAGCCTCCGCCAAAAAATCACATTCGACTGCTCGATCTTCGGCCCGGGGTCCGGCGAGCCTGGTTCTCGGGTCGGCTCTGGGTTGCTGCTCCCTCGTCGGGGCTCGCCCCAGTCCGTGTCTAGGGGGACGGGCTGGTGCGCCGGTGAGAGCCGGCGGCGGCGGCCGGTGGTGCGCGCTCCCCGTGCGTCTGCCGGCCGAGCGGTGGTGTCAGAGAGCTGGGCGGCGTTAGGTAGCTCGGGTAGGGCGTCTGTGGCTGCGCGAGGAAGCCGGGCAGCGTCTGCATCAGGCTGGGGCCGAACATGGAGGTGGCGATCCACGGGTCGAGCGGCGCCGTCAGACCGGACAGCGGCGGCGACAGCGGGAAGTCCTGCTGCAGCCGCAGCTGGGACGCCTCCATCTTCTCCTGGCGCCGCCACTTGGCGCGGCGGTTCTGGAACCACACCTGCCGGAGAGGGACCAACGGGTCAGAGGAGGGTCAACGGCACAAAGGGCGTGCGGGGAAGGGGGCAGAATGTATGCTAACTGCGATGCTGGACACGACACATTATTCCCTCCCTTCGTCTCCCGTGCCGTGTCATGGCCTGTCATGCCCTCCGTGCCCTCCGATGGACACCGGGCTCTCACGCCCTTTCCACCCTTCCCTCCCATGCCCTGATACTCCCCATCCTACCCTTCCCTGCCATGTCCTCCGGAGCTGCTCTCCATCCTACCCTTCCCTGCCATTCCGTCGCGTACCAACCGGTAACCGGAGCCGACATGAGAGGAGCGCCGTTACAGCGCCCAACCATGGGTCACCGCCGGAGCCTTTATCACCGGATAATGGGCACCGAATTAGCTCTCTCGTGATGTCGGTAATTTAATGAAGACAGCCTGGCGGTGACGGTGCCGCCATGGCGGCGCGTCGCCGGCGCCTTTCAACCCTTTGAGTGGCCCTGAATGGGGTGTCGCGGCGCCGCTCGTCACCGCGGCCATGACGCGTCGGCGCCGATCGAGATCGGGATCGACGGATACGGGCCGACTCTGCCGGGTCGCCGAGGGAGGAGTTCCGTCCTGTACCCTCTCCGTCCGTTTCCCCAGCAAGAAGAGAGAAGAAATGGGCCATGGAGAGGAGATAGATAAGAAGCAAGGAGGAGACAGAAGAACCCACGAATATCGGGATTTCCTCCAGTAATGCAGTGTAGCATGGATAAATGCACTCACTGTACTTACTTATACGTAGTTCCCCTAGTGATCAGATACAACACCTCGTCCATATACTGATTCCAGGAGGGGGGGGGGGGTAATCGGTCATACAGCACCTGCCAAGTGTGTCCAGCACTGCGATAATTATTACCCAATTAGTGGAAACATTACGCCCAATCCATCACACGATAACGAATACAGCGCACCGCTTATCGCCGGTCAGGAGGCAGCACAGACTGGTATAGAGCTCTCGATATGCGGTATTAAGGTGCAAGAATGGGGCAAATAAAGACAACGCATGTGGTATGGTCAGACGATGGCCTGCCGCTTAGCTAAGCTGATAGATGAAGAAGTTGATTGCAGCTAGCTGCCGGCAACTAGCTGCTTTTCAAGATAGTTCTGCTCGTACGACCATTGTGACATGATGATTTATGAACAAATTTCTTCAGCTGGCTCTGAAGAGGCCTATGAGGAGTTGTGTAATTCCAGTCGGAAAATACCAGATCGGAGCGTTTTACGTCACAATTAAGACCCATTAGCGATTAGCGGACAGAAGCTGTGGCGTGAAAGTGGCCATTCTTCGGATGAATCCATTCCAGGATGGAGTTTAATATTAACAGGCCAAGGAGTTTTCGAGCTACCTCATGTGATGTAGGTCATTCTGAAAAACTAGGATCCTGTTGAAATGTCAAGTCATTCGGCCAGATCAAACAATATCCAAATACAGCACCGTTTACGAGTTGAACTACCGGTGCCGGTCTCCCTGGGATACGGTGGCACTTGTGTGTTATCCATGACATATATATATATATATATATATATATATATATATATATATATATATATATATATATATATATATATATATATATATATATATATATATATATATATAACGACAATGTATTCAAATACACAATTAAAAAAACAGAGCTTTCGGTAACAAATACCTTGATCACTGTGTGTCTGCTAAAAATGTCTGCTAAAAATTTTAGCAGACACACAGTGATCAAGGTATTTGTTACCGAAAGCTCTGTTTTTTAATTGTGTATTTGAATACATTGTCGTTTTTTTATGTATACGGTGGCACCCCGGTCCTTACTGCATGAGGTGCAGCACCGGGCCAGAGGCGCCTCCTCCGCTGATCAGGCGGCGGGCCAGCACACCTGCCGGTCGCCACCTCCTCCGACCAGCGACTAATTCGCCAGGCGATAATCTCTTATCGACCTCCAGCCACTCAGAGCCGGCGTGCGCCGCCAATAGAGTCACTTAATGCCCGCTCATTGCCGGCCGGCCAGCGACCAGCTAATGTATGGCGGCCCGCCGCTATCCGCCGCATCTTAATTCACTTTATGAAGTGGAGCTGGCAGCAGCGATCACTCCGATCGCGGCGCGAGGCGGCAGAGTGACGGGGGAGCGTCCTCCTCCGCTGCTCTGTCCGCGGCTACAAAGTGCGGCGGCTCCCGAATCAATTATCACGGGGCGGGGCCCCGACTGTGATCAGGCGGCGCGCCGCGCCTCTGCAGGCGGTGCTCTTTGGCACGTGCGCCCGATCGGCCGGCCGCCACCGGGCCGGGCGAGCACGCGCAGATCTGAGCAGCCGAGATCGCCGGCTGGGAGCGTCTGGGTCCGGGCCGACCGCTGCACTGTATTTCAATTTACTAGTCCGGGTAATGGTCGGGGCAAAGGTAGGGGGATCAATTGATATGATAGGCGAGGTACTTGAAACGTGCACCGGTAGAAGACACTGGTCAGGGAAAATCGTCGGGTCAATTAGTCAGAGGCAATTTTCTCAGTTGTCGATGAAAATCACCTAATGAAATGGCCATTTAGAAAATGGCCGATCTGGAGCAATGGTCAGCTGATGGATGTGCATATCGTAACGATCGAACACTAAGTTTAGCGAAAAGAAGAATAATATGCATAATTTTTTTCTTGACATATTCTCGACGTAATTAAGAACCTTAATATCATATAACCTATAAAGAAATTTACATAAGAGAGTGAATCATTTATTACCTTCAATTCATGTCACATTTGGAATCACTTGACAATGTGAGAACTGAATCTAGGTTTCGTCTTTCAATTTTAGGTCGGTAACAGAGGTTGGGACGCAGATAATGAGAAGCCATGAAAACTTAAGCGTCACCATCAAATACACTTATTGTGAAAGGCATTCGTCGGGCGATTTCTATCACCAGACGATGAAACGGCATGAAGTGCAAACTGCATTTGTCTTTGTAGAGGATGTGGATACAATAAGGTAAGTAGGTAGATATCATGTATTATGAAGTCAGCTTTACGCGAGACATGCATTATTTCCCAAGATAACCCCTACATCCTACCACTTAGCTTTCACGTTTGTACATGATCATAAATTCTGTTAGATGTGTTAAACTCCGGGGCATTTGTTGCATGCGACATGGGATGGGGGATATTGCATGCTCGGCTGGCACTGTCATGTCCTCGCGTGTTGGAAATGGTATGTGGGGCGGCCCTTTAATCATTGCTGTGCCATTTATGCTCAGTATAATAAGCACAACTGTAGAGAATGTTACCTTCTACAGTTGCTTGTAGTTGAGTGTCTTGTTTCAAATAAGTTATCACATATGTGTTTTAGGTAAATTGACCTAAATTGTACGGCTGTGCTTCACTTGAGGCCCAGACACTGCTACAAAATGGAGCAGTAACCATGCCTTGCATGATTAAAGTTTCTATGTAGCGCTCGCTTTGTGTTTCTATTGTGCCTCTTTGCGTCCTTGTTGCAGACGGTTCAGAATCTTGATTCTAAAGCATACAAAGAATGTGATGCTAACAGAATAAGTGAAATTCATCCCTAACAGATCTCGTTACTCATCGCTACATGTCTCCAATCAGTGCCTATGTCTCAACCGGTGAGGCGCGGTTCACCCAGTAGTTTCCGTGTGCCGTGTAGCACAGAGGCGCTCGATCGTCACCACGTGTGGGGCGGCCCACCCTGCGCCGCCGCTTTGCATGACCGGAATGCCCCAGTGAATTATTTAGCGGCGGCTTTTGCGGCTACATTAACCAATTAATTTAATGCCATCATTTACGTGTTGTGCTAATGGGCCTGAGGGCGGCGGCCGCTTGCGCTAATCGGTTCACTCCAGTAGCGAGGACAGGCCACAGGAGCTGCCGTGTGGCTGTCCCAGATCCCGTCCCCATCCCCTACATATAGACAGTCTCTATGTAGTTCCGTTCCCAGTCCCTCCCTGATTCTTATTCCCATAATGTCGTCGAATCAGTGGTTCTTGCTCCTGTTCATTTGAAGAGCATGGTAAATCGAAAATAATAAACTAATTCTTGCACCGAATCGGGTGCTTTCACGTAATTGAATACATACGTGTCGACACTTTGATTCCACATTACACCACCTATACCATCACCACCGTTATCGTCACCATTATCACCATCACCACCTACAGCTCCGCGATATCGCCCGCTCCGCCACCGGCCCGTAAAACGGCTAATGCCTCGCTGAAGGCTGCAATCAAACAATAATACGGACGTCTCTGGCCACGTGGCGCGTTCCCACGCTGGACCGAAGCGCTGGATCAAACCATCAGCCTGCCGGCCTCTGCGGCCAGCCCTATTAATGGCCCGCCGCCGCCGCAGAGCCGGCCCGTCGCTGCCGACGAGGGCCCGTCGCTGCAGACGGGGATCGCCACCGACGCGGACCATCGGCGACGGAGGGACCGATCGGGGCCGAATTATTACGGGATGTGATGTGATATATGAACGCCAGGGTGATTTCAGGCTAGTGGTTTGGAAAAAGGAATGATTGTTTCAATTTGATGCTCTTTTATTGGGTTTCAAACGGTGTTGTAATCAAAGTTATATCGCAATAAAAGGGAACGAAATGACGAAATGATAACACTAAATGGATTTTGTTCACTTCATGCCAACACAAAAACAATCACTTAATAGCCATACCAAGCTGCAAAGCATCACCTGCAATTCGCTCCATTGATGCAGGTACGTCCGACTGCCGAGGTGCACTGTGTTCGTGTCAGTACCTGGATTTAATGAGCGTCGGCTGCGTATCGGTCCCGACGGCCGCCGCCTGAGAGTCGGCACTTGTACGGCGACTGTCGTCGACAGACCTTATCTAGTTTGCATTCGTCCAAAGAATCGATGTCATTAGAAACGGTGACGCCGCCACGATGGGAACCGACCAGAAGGTCCTGTCACAAAGATCAATTCAAATTTAGCGCTAATAGGCCGGGGGCAATTAGCGATGAAATGAGGTTAAACCACGGCTAATTGGTGGGTGTTGCGCGGTGCGGGGACGTCGCCTGTCTCTCTGTCCTGTGGATGGATAGAGGGGGGAGGACAGAGTGAAAGGGAAACAGATGGATCGGACTCTTCAGCTACTCCGCCTCTGCCGTATAGCGCCAGTAGAACTTAACAGTTTTACGCCACCGTTTCGCAGTGCTGCTAATTATGTAGTTAATTTGAAAATTGAATTCATGATTAATTCAAATTGTTAATTCATTTGCCTATCACTTATCAGTCATAGTGAATAAATGTGTACTGCAATGAAATGTGCATTTGCAAGAAACACTTCTGGGCACGCGTGGACTGTTGAAGAACAATCCGCACGTGTTGTTACGAGAGCACTCGTAAATCATATTTGTCTCGCATGGAACTAGAAAAACGTCACCCCTCATCCACCCAATCAAATGTATCGCCCGGTGTCTTCCCATATCCCCGCAGTTCTCACCTGCACTCTGACCTCTGGCAGGTTGACCTTGATGGCCAGCTCCTCCCGGCTATAGACATCCGGGTAGTGGGACTTCTCGAAGGCCCGCTCCAGCTCGTGCAGCTGGTAAGTGGTGAAAGTGGTCCGGTTGCGACGGTGCTTCTTCGACTTGGCGTCGTCGGAGCCCTTCAGTGAGTCCGGGTCGTCGCGCTCGACGCTGCGCGGCGATTCATCGGAGGCGCCTGCCGACGGAGGAAGGCAGGGCATCAAATCACCTGCCAAGGATAGCTGGAATGCCGGTGACGAGCCTCTGAGAAATTGCAAGTCTTATGAGCTCTAGAATCGAGAGGTTTGCGATTTTCCTGGCTGAACAGAAATATATGGGAATTATTTACCAAACTATTATTTTCAAGGTTCGGAGGAAACCTGGAGCCTATTTGTCGCCTATCATGCTTCTTAGATACGTGGTAAAACTTTAGCATGCTAAGAGCAGTTGGCATTTTATTTATGTGTAGGACAGGATAAATGATGCTCTCCCGTGTCATAACACTTTCATAGGCAATTGTCGTTCACTATACCAACAATCGCGCGATTTTTACGTGTGCGGTGGTAATTGAGCTCTATGTTTATCCATCAACACAGAAGTCGACACGGTCATTATGTCATTATTGGTATGATTAACCCACGAGCCGCTGGGGGGGGCATAAAGTTGCCCCCCCTTTACGTTTTGTGGAATATCTCCGAAACCTGATGAGCTACGAACGTGAAACTTGGCATAGCTTCAAATGAATACCTAGGCAATGTTTGAAGAAAGTTTGGTGGTTGTAGCATCTACGATGACGTCACAGTGACGTCATAAAGTTTTGTCGTTTTCCGATATGGACCGTTTCTGATGACGCTGAGCATGAAACTCAACTGCAAATGAACTAGACAGCACCTGCTGTCATCCTAAAACGTCTAAGTACACTTCCATCTAGTTCCTAACCAATAATCGGCCCTTTATATTCGGTCCCATATACCTGATGTATCGTGAGGAAACTGAGAGTCGCGAATCTATAATTTGACTTATGACGTCACTGTGACGTCATTTCAAATGGGATCGACACGAAATTTGGACACAACCTCGGCTAGGTATTCAGAAAGATGTGTGCAAAGTTTCGCTTCTCTATCTCTTCGCGTTGCGACGATATCGCCGCGGAAGTAAAGGGGGGGCAACTATATGCCCCCCCCCAGCGGCCGGCGGGTGGCGCGGAGGCCCAGCGGCCGCCGGGTTAAGAACGGACCTGGCCCACTTGGTAATCTATTGGTTGCATGACTACCATTATTGGCCTATTAATGCCAATTACGGGAGGGAAGCATGCGACTCTATTACCGACCAATTGGCTTGGGTGACCACGCTCCACCTAGATCTGCCAGGGGACATGCACGCACGCGCACACAGACACACAAACACACCAGTCGCTACCACTGTCTTGTTCGTCCCCTAATGTCGCGTAAATACACACAGCTACATTACTTTCCACCCACTTATATTGATGTGAGAGCAGCAGGCATTTCCGTTGCTATGCCAAATATTTAATTGTGCGGCCAGAATGGTCAGGAAGCAGGTGGTAATTATCATTCTTTCTAATTAATAGACGGTACTTGCTTGGCTGAGTGAGGCGCGTGGCCGGCGACCTGTCCTCGAGGGGTGGGGAGGAAGGGACGCGGTGGGGTCAGAAAGGGGAGGGTCGGACCTGACATAGCTGGCGATTGGGAGGGGGCGATATTTCTGATCACGCTTCAGTGAAGACGCCGAGGACTCGAGCTGTGGGTAAACCATCGGGTCGAACGCGCAGGTACCGGGACTAGACCGTCTCACATGACACAGACAGACAGCACCGGGTGTTCTAAGCCAGCTTGGAACGCAGAGGGACCGGAAGAGCGGTATCCTCAGCGTGCGGATAGCAGGTAGAACACCAGACCAACTGCCGAAGGTAACCCCGCGACACTCCTGACGCTGTGCTCGGACCTAATCGGGCTCGAGAGGTGTTTCCGCCCTGAGCCGTCGGCTTCCCGAGCCCAGCCTCCATTGTGAGGACGTTTTAATCCGCGACTAGACCACCTTTGGCGGCCGTCGCGGGAATCTTATCTCGGGCGGAAATCTTTATTAACCCCATTAGGTCGGCGGTATGCCTCCATTGAGTGCCGCTCAGATGAGCATAAACAGGCCAGCGGCAGAGGTGCGTGCCCGGTTAGAGTTACCCGGCCTTGGGGGGTGGACGGCCATGGAGAGGAGAAGGGTGTTGGGCCACACAGAACTGTCCAACGACATCACAGGTCATCCTCAGGTAGGCGCAGGCGAATGACACAGCACACGGAGAAGGACATGACAAGATCATGACAGGATAGATGACACTGCACAGGTGCAGTGTTTATGGATCGATCAAGGCACGATGTATGATGATGGCAGATTATTATTCTATACGATTCGCTTCTGTCCATTTCTGTAAATACTTCAAGTGCCCATAGGCCTTCCCGTCCATGGCTGCTTATAATACGAATGTTTTGAATGTCGAAATCCATTCAGGACGACCTGTATTGAGCAATTTGGTGTCGTACCAGTTTATATTGCGTTAAAAAGTCAAATGCAATTTAACTAAGGACCCCCAGGCAAACTTCGGCCCCGCAGGTAGCCATCGTTTGGGGGTTTCCTAAATGAAATCCCCTCGGCAGCGCTAAGCCCCGGTCCTGTGTTGTCTTGAGGATGAAATGGTGACAAATTGGATTACTTCCGAGCTGTTGCATGTCTGGCGTATGTCCCCTGGGCTCTACCGAACCGCTAAGCCGGTGTTTAATGCCCACATAATTGGCGAGCGTCTCTTTCCGATGATCTAAATTGGCTCAACCGGCCATAATCGGATTTATGAATGAGGCGAACATACATCCATGATGTCCCGCTTAAATAAGGACAGTGTCGTTCGCACTAACATTGAATGATGCTACACTGCTACACTACACAGCAAAGGTTATTGTGCTGCTATGCGTGCAAAAACCAAGCGTGACACTGGCTCTAAACCGTTCAATAACGATAATTTTGTCAAGTATGTACCAAGCAAATTAAATTTACGCGGCATAAAACGAATTAATCGGAATGTTTTATTTTCAACCAGGCCTAGACATTTACCTACACATTACCTATAATCAGTTTACAGCCATAATGTTTATGACTATGTATTTCCTCGGTAATCCCGATCAGCTTATTCATACCACGACCTTTTAATTAACTTATCAGCATAATTTGAATAAGCAGCTCAGACATTTATCAATGCGAGGTCACCTTTCCACTGTTGAGGCAGGGTCATGCGACAAGGGCCTGGTTATCAGGGGCCTACTTTTGAAAGCGGGCCTTACAGAGTAGTTAAGTCAGCATATTACACTCAGCAGTGACCAACTGCTTCCATAAACCACAGCGCCGACCGGCGGTCTGCTGACTGCAGGACAGCGGACAATGAACAGTAGACAGTGGACAGAGGACAGAGGACAGCAGACAGAGGACAGAGGACAGTTGACAGCGGACAGAGGACAGTAGACAGAGGACAGAGGACAGTGGACAAGTGGACAGTGAGTAGCGGACAGCGGACAGCGAGCGGCGGGCAACCGGCTGACGTAGGCAGAGGACAGCGAGCAGCGGACAGTGCACAGCGGACAGCTGACGCCTAACAGTGGACAGTTGACAGTAAGCGTCGGACAGTGGACAGTGGTCACTGGTCAGCCTACTGTGGACCGTGGGCAGGAGACGGCGGACAGCAGTCACAGCAGAAAGCGGGTAGAAGATAGTGGACTGCGAACATTGGACAGCAGGCAGCGTGAGCGGACAGCAAACGTTGGATAAGGGATAGTAGACAACTGACGCCTGACAGTGGACAGCGGACATGTAGCTCGGACAACGGACAATTTAACAGTGGACAGTGGACAGCAGCTAGTGGACAACATGCATCGGAAAGTGGACAAGGCAGTGGATAATGGACAACGGACAGCCGACAGCGGGTAGCAGACGGTGGACAGCGGACAGCAAGCGTCGGACAGGGAACAGCTACCGTCGGACAGCGGACAGCTACCGTCAGACAGGGAACAGCAAGCGTCGGACAGCGACCGGCCGACTGCCGGCCGCCGCGTGCCGATACCATCTCGGCGTAACAAGGCGCCTTGTTAGGGGTCCGCGCCGCGCCGCGCCGGCTCGACTGTGCCGCACGACCCGCCCGTAATGAGCGATAATTTGTTTAGCGGTCGACAGCAGTGTTTCGGCGCCGACGGCGTGAATTATTCACCGGCCGACGACGCGGCGGCGACCGACACACGATAAGCCGGCGCTGCGGCCAGTGCGGCGCGCCGGTGACGATTGTGGCGCGGTAATGAACTGACACGCACCGGCCGCCGGCTGCAGCCGTGTGTGGCACTGCTGCACTGCCAGCCCTGCTGTCCCAAGTGATTGTTTGCGACTGAAAAGAAGCAATTATTTAGCGTGAAACTGTTAGAGGGACATTCGATACGGGGTGAAGTGGCGCTGTTTGGGGCGTTGTTTGCACTAAACACTCGATGTTTGCTCTTCAATAATGACGATTCAGATAATACCCACATACAATCACAATCAATGCTGAGTCATTATCTGTTTGTAGAAACCTTTTACCCTGTAATGCTGGCGTGATTTTTACTTACTCTTTCCAATTTTGTCACATTTATGTCGATTGCTGCACGGATTGCCAGCCATTCCTTTAGTCACTACCTCTCTACTTTTACTGAATGCTCGAAGAAGGAAACTCTGAAATTACCGTGTGTTATAGAAAAATTCCAGGTGCGCTGGCGATGCTGCTCGTAAGGCGGTTACTTAGCGCTCGCCGTATACAGGGTGTCCCATAAGTTTTAACACCTATTGTTTCACATCATTGGCCATTATTTCCATTTGGAGAACAGCGAGAAACATCGGATAGCGCTATTGGCATGAAGCTTAGTATGTCTCGTACAAGAGACAACCTTTTTTCGCCGCTATTTCAGAGACGTCCCAGGCTGGTCGATCTCACACCCATTTTCAGACAGGACACAACAGGAGAGGTATGCCGATTACAGACTACATTAAATTGGGCCAATAGTTGCAAAGACGTTCAATGTATCCCACTAACCACGGTTGATAATAGGAAGAAACGGGATTCTTGCATAACTGATCTTGAAAGAGAATGGCGGCCCGACCGGCCAATTGTGGTTG